GTATTCTTATTTCATATTGCAGATGAACCGAGCTCTTTGATTTTAACCATTGTGTATACTAGTATGAAAAACATTACAACATAAACATTCGCCATAAAAAAATAAAGTCAAAATCACACACATTCACACCATCACCACTTCACCCACCACACCAACAACACATGCACCAACAACACCACCCAACCACATAAACAACATAAACACGACCTACACATCACCTTTACCACCACCTTGCACACACAACAGTAATGTAATGAACTCCACACACACAACATACCATCACCACCTCACCCAGTGCACCACCAAGACATGCACCCCCATCACCCAACCGCTACCACCCACTTACTCCCACCACCACACAACCACCACCACGTCGCCCACCACAGCCACCACACCATCCATTTACCATCACCAACATCACCACACAAACACCCAACACAACACCACCGCCGCCACCACTGCCACGACCACCAGTTTGCAGCCACCAATAACACATAGCCGGCGCCCATAGAATCAGCGCGGGACACGAACACACAACCATCATTTCCTCCTTTTTTCAGTGATTCCATAGAGTGAAGCCCTAAGAAAGTCACAAATGGTAAAATTTTTCATGAATTTCCCTCTTAAATTCCAATATCAAATTATTCATAAAAGTCCATAAAACCGGCCCTCAAAAGACATGACAAAGCTAAGTCATAAACCAAAAAAACCAAGCCACACAAGTGAAAATTTTTCCTGAATTTCTTTCTAAAATGCTTTCATCATTTTTTTCATATGATCCACAAAACCCAACCCACAAAAGGCGATATCAAAGCTAAGCCAAAACCAAAAAATAAACAAAGCCAAAAAAATATAAAAACTTGTCATGAGTTTTTCTCTAAAATGCTTTCATCACTTTCTCAATAAAATCCATAAAATCAACTGGCACAAGGAAATCACTTGGCTAAGCCATAGACCGAAAAAAAGCTAAAAAAAAGTAAAAATTTTTCATGAATTTCTCTCTCATATGCTTTTATCAATTTTTCCATAGGATTCGCAAAAATCAAACCACAAGAGCCAATCACAGAGGAAAACCATAAATTGCAAAAAATCGAGCCACAGATGGAAAAATTTTCCATGAACTTCTCTCTAATGCTTTCATCAATTTCTTCATAGGAACCGGAAAAAATCAGAGGCCACAAGAGACAATCTTAGAGCTAAGCCATAAACCGCAAGACACCAAACCACAAATGGCAATCACAACCATAAGCACATTGAACGGTTGGTAAAAGCCAAGCTGCCACAGGGAAAGCCAAAAACAACCGCCCAACATCAACCACATATCTCACAGAAGGAGGTCAGACAAGGGGAAAGAGAGCATTTAGAAATACCAAAGGACAGAAGAGAAGATGGGCTTAGAATCAACGAGAAGGGAGGAAGGAAATGAGAGTGCCAACGGAGACCGTCAACCGGAGTTAGAAGAGGAGAACGAAGCTAGGGCACGGATGCGCCAAACACAATAGAGAAGAAAACCGAGGGCACACGGACAAAACCGAGGGCATGCGAAGGAAATCATGTGATCAAAACGTGGGCTGCGGTATCTCACATTGCCGCCGCACCACAGTTTCTAAACAGAAGTTTCTGCGTTTTGGAGCCGCGCCGCAGGTAAAAAGCAGCCCCAAACACACCCATATTCACATCCATTTATCTTCACGGTTTGGAATGAATGACGAGTCATTCACATAGAAAACTATATGTCGCATTGTCTCCATCTCGATGCATATGTAATTTTTCATCAATTTCTAAAATTTAATAAATTTCTTTGTATTAATTTAATTACTTCATTAAAAAAATTCATAAAAATTTTAAATTAATTTTAAAATTTTATATTAATCCCTTCTGGTAGGCCCTCACTTAACGAAAAATTTTCATAAAATTTTAAATCTCAACATGAAAATTAAATAAAAATTGTAAAAGGGATTTAATTAAATAATTAAAAATCCAAGAATTTAAACGAATTCAACTTACTTGTAAAGGAACTGAACTTTAAAAATCAATATGAATAAATTTAATCGGCCGAATTTATTAAAAAATTAATCACTTATGCTTTATATCAGAAACAAAATTATAACAAATAATAAAAATATTTCATATTTAAAAATATTTTATGAATTTCAAAATAAAAAAAAATTAAAATAAGACTTAAAATAAATCATAAGTTGACTAATGCAACTCCAAATAATCTGAATTATTCGCAGTAAATCATTCTTAATCAATCTGTAATTTTTTCAAAAAAAAAAACATATTTTTAATTTTAACTCATTAAATTAATCAATTAATTAATTAATAATTAATAAAATTTTAAAATAATCCAGAAATATCTAAACTCTTTTAAAATTGATTTTCTAAGTTCTTATGATTCTAGAAAGTCATTTCCTGAAAATTTAAGTTATAATTTGGATAATTTTAAGTAAAAGAAAAGGAAAATAAGAAAAAAATGTATAATAACTAATAAACATTAACTTATATAAATTTAAAAACAATCATTCAATCACCCTTAGATTCTAAAAGTTAATTCTATGTCTTCTTAAAGATTTAAAAAAAAATCAAACTTAAATAAAAAATCTTAAATCAAATCTGAGTCAAATTCAAACATCCCAAATTTGAAAATTTTAAACATTAAATTGTCCCTTTTTACTTAAGTTCTCTCATGCCAAAAATTGAGATCCTAAATTGAAGTCTTAAGAATATTATTCAGCTGGACATGCTTAACCTTAGACCCAATCTTCAAATAATCGTATTAACATCTCATCATTTTATTTAATTATCCATGGTTATGTCTAATTGATTAAGTTAGGTTGGAAGACTTTATGGATTCAAGTTGACTGCAATCCAACTTGAGTTGATGACTAAGGTCAAACCTTGGTCAAAATAAGATCAAAACTAAGTCAAAAGTCAAAATCAAATATTAAAATGAATAAGTCAAAGTCGACCCTATAGTTAATTACCTCTTAAATGACTAAAATCGCTTAAAAGAACTCTCGTTAATGATCAGAGGTATATATCTTCATGAATTCAAAGTTTAGAGTTTTCAAGGTTGGACATAGAAAAATTAAATGGAGAAAGGGACCAAATGAGAACATTTATTTCTGGAGTCAAAGGAAAGAAAAGTAGGGGATGTCACGGATCCTGAGGAGAACCTCAGTGACTTCCCAAACTATCCTATTGTTTGACTTCAATTTTGAGAAGATGTTATTTAATGTTTCATCCTGCCAATTTTTTTATTTAGGACTTATATTTGTGTGACACGGTCATACAAATAACCTGAAAGATATGAGAGTTTACATCGTATCGGACGGCAACCTCAGAACCTAAAGTTAGTTAGGGTTTAAATTGCACAACCTGGCTGTGCAAAGACCTAAAGTTAAGGGAGGATTTATGTTGCACTACGCAAACTATTTCAAAGTCTTATGAGTTTATTTATTGGAAAAGAAATCCGACTGCCTAATATAAGTTCTCAAATTATTTGAAGAACGACTTCGTAAGCAATGAACTAAAGGAGACCTTAGATGTTGATGTTAAATTTGATTTTGCTGACTGCATATTCCCAAAGATCCTAAAGATTGGTAGACATATTAAGTCATATTTATAACCCCACAATAATAACTAACGAATGACTAAATTGCCCTTTTACTCTTGCGCCTAATATGAGTTTTTAAATTATTTGACGAATGGCACTGGAAGTGCCGTTCTAGAGGAGACCTTAGATTTAGATGTTAAATTTGGTTGTGCTGGCTGTTTATTCCCAAGGATTGGTGGGTAGAGGAGTAACCTACGTTGCTTGACATTGTATACTTGGTAAAATGGTCTTTATGGATTAGGAGAGGGAATCACTCGTATGTATAATGAGAAAACACAAAAGGTATCCATGTGGATGGAACGAGATTCTCCCATGCATTTGAAGAACAAATTTCCCCTAGATCAGTTGAAGAAGTTGGATTTTCATTACTCGTAATAGTGGAGCCAAATGCTATACTTTTTCCCGACTTGAGTGCCTACTAATTTCAGCGCCCGATCTTCCTCAGCTGAATTTCTGGAGGCGGGTATTTTGCACGGTTAGTTTAAGTTTCTTCTGTAGCTTGGTTATGCGTTGTTCCATTTCTTCTGTATAATTGTCATGGTGCACGTGTGGAAAGATGAAAGAGAGTGCTTTGCATGATTACTTCTCATTGGTCCATACTGTGGTGATTAGCTGTGGGGAAATATTAAAAAAAAAAGAACGTGCATGTGTTCCTTCAGATTCAACAATTCCATTTTGTGCATTATGAATTCTTGATATTTATTCTTTTTCTCCAACTTTTGAGGTACGAAGAAGTGGAGTTTTGACTAAATGAGGTAGATGGAAGAGGCAAGTGCTTGAGTATGTTTAGAGCTTGATTCTCATTCTTCTGAATTGTAACCCCATATTTTGTTATGTCTATATCTTGAAATATTTCTAATTGCCAGCACCTGAGTTAGATGTTTCAGGGATTTAGATTCTCTATTTTTTCCCGTCTTCTTAAACTCATCATCTTCATTCTTAACATTTATTATTCTCTTACTTGAAACACTGACACCTTATTTTATCTTATTCTCTATTAAACATATCATTATTTCTCTAACACTTGGTGAGCGGTCATTGTAAAGAATATTTGAAGTATTATCATTAAAAGAAAAGAGCTCACCAAGGCAATTTTACTTAAGGCAAGATGTTCAAATGTCCATGCCTCACTAATGACATCTACCAGGATGGGTTTATGTTGTATTTATGGCTCTTATGACTCATTTAAGTGCCTAGCCGAGCATTCGGCTTGTCTCTAACAACGCTTATATTAATTATCTTCTGTTCAAACTTGGAGTTTGTTTTACTGAAGTTTTATTGTGTCCATTGAGGCACCGAGTTTTATAAAAATTTGTCGTTTATTTATTTTTTTGATTGCAGTCATTTTATGTAATCTGAATATTTGCATTGAGGTCTGCAGGGCGGTGTGACGGAAGGGCAACTGCTTAAATTTGTTGGCGCAAATAACCATTTGTCCCCAATGCAGGCAAAGACATTATTGGAGGTGCATTGTGCTATTCTTATTTTAAATTAGCTTTAGATCCTCTTTGTTTTCCTGTAAATCTTTTCTTTCCCCATCGTTGACTTATTAAGTGCGTACTTTGTCTAGGATGAAGGAGTTGGTTTTGCTTATGTGAGCCAAAGAGAAGCACGACCATCATTGTAAGGATTTTTAAAAAGCAGATCTTTGTTGTGGCTATAAGTTTTGTGAAGCTTTGAACCATCTTATGAACTATAGGTCTAACATATTCATACAATCCATTGTGAAATAATAAAATATGATACGTGCTTGTGTCGGTCAACTTTTTGGAAATTTAAAAATCGAAAATAATTTCGAAATTTAATTTAATATAAAAGACATATAGTTTGAGTTTTGAAAGTAGTGTGTTTTAATTTTTAGAAAATGAGATGAGATCGAATGGATCTCATTACATTAGTCTAATAGTTTGCATAATCGTGACCGATACCTCGAATACTACACATTCCTGAAAAATGAGTGTATATTTCGGCGATATACCTAATCTTGCAAACTAAGAGATTTGTGACATCATTTTGGTCTGCGAATATTTTATGTGTGATCGACAAATTCTTCTATTTAATATAAAGATTAAATATGATTTATTTTACCTAGTTTCCAAGTTCCCTATAGAGACAAGCTCCTATTAATTACATTCAAAATGACGGGAGTCACTTGAGAAAATTCTCGATAATAATCAGTGGTTCTAGTTTTCAAGAATTCCAGGTTTAGATTTTCACGGTAAGACGTGGAAAAACAACTGAGAGTGACTCAAATAGGAACAGTTATTTTCAGGAATCCAAAAAAAGTAAAAGGCAGGGGACGTCACAGATCTTGTGGAGAAACCTCAGTGACTTCCCAAACTATCCTACTGTGTGGCTAAGTTTTGGAGATGATGTTATTTAGATGTTTAATTCTGTCAATTTTATTATTTGAGACTTACATTTGCATAATATCCGATTATGCAAATAGCCCGCAAAGATAAGAGGGTTTACGTCTTACCAGACGACAACCTCAGAACTAAGGCGAGTTAGGACTTACGCTGCACAACATGATTGTGCAGGAGCCTAAAGAAGGTATGAGGATTTACGTTGCGCTGGGCGAGCTACCTCGAAGTCCTATAAGTTTTATTTAGACTAAGGAGAGAGTTTAGCTGGTGTAGACTTGTTTTGCTGTTGTAGAATGACGACCACCTCCACTTGTAGTCCACTCTAAGCTCCTTGCCGTACTGCCCACGGAGTTGCTCCAGATTCTTTGTCGAAAATAGCAGTCCTAAATTCTAAGGTTCAAAAGGTTTTATCATGTGTGTTTTAAGTTTTAGTTTTGTTGTCATTATAGGGGGTTAAAGTTGATTAGAGCGACTCCGGTTAGTATCCCACGGTCCCCTCGTTCCATTACCACTATTTTTTTTTAACTTAGCTTAAAAGAGTTGTGAAACCCATTTAAACCGGTGAGATTTTGTTAGCAATCGTGGGTTACCTTCTCCGAGGGACTCCCGTAAATTCAAAAGTACGTGCTATGTTTTTGTTTTGAAAATGTTTAATTTATTTTTTTGAAAGTTATTTTGTTTTGAAAATAAAATTATAATAAGTACCTACATAATGTGTTAGAGCAAGAGTAAATTGTAATAATAAAACAACAACAAATAAAATGTACCAGTATACGTCGTGTATCTGCTGCTGCTATCCCTGTTGCATGTTTACTCACAAAGCATAATATAATTTGCAGAGAATTTAAATAAACTATATAGAAAAGAAGAAAACAGTAAACAACTGAACAAGTCGTAACAATAGCTAGGAACTCAAAACAAGTGATCCCACGGTTTCCTACAATTACAGACTGCAACTAGTGAGTGTGTACGACGATCTTATGACTCCGGACAGCAGTTAAGAACTTCGAATAACACCTGTATGGATTCCTACGAACCCAAAAAATAATGGACAACACCTATGTGGCTTCCTACATACTCAAACCATTGTGGAAAACATCTATGCGGCTTCCTACGAACCCAAATGATAGTGGTCAAGACCTATGTGGCTTCCTACAAACCCAAATCATAGTGGACAACACGTATGTGACTTCCTACGAAACCAAACAATAGTGGACAACACCTATGTGGTTTCCTACGACCCAAAGCATAGTGGTCAGCACTTAAATGGGGTACAAAACTCCTCAAAAATAGTGAATGGATTAACACAAAAACTTGCATTTAAAGGCTCCAAAACCTTAAGCGAATTAGCACTTAAATGGGGTACAAGGCGCTCCAAAATTAGTAAACGAATTGACTCGAAAATCTGCATTTAAAGGCTCCAAACAGTAGGCAAATCATCACTTAAGTGGTGCACAAAGCCTTCTAAAAACAATGAACGAATGTGCCCAAAAATCTACATTTAACGGCTCCAAAATAGTGAATAGACGCAATAAAAGAACGTTAAGAATTATTGAGCATGCTCACAAAATCAGCTACCACGACCTTATGAATTAATCAACATAATATTCACTTAAGTGGTGCACAAAGCCTTCTAAAAACAATGAACGAATGTGCCCAAAAATCTACATTTAACGGCTCCAAAATAGTGAATGGACGCAATAAAAGAACGTTAAGTATTATTGAGCATGCTCACAAAATCAGCTACCACGACCTTATGAATTAATCAACATAATATTTCTACTAACATAAATAACCTCATATGTGAATGATCTAGAGTTTCTTAGGAAAATTACTGATGGGGTACTTGCATGCATACCACCCACTCTTATGTATTTGCTCATCTAACACCCAAACCCCACGCTTATAGCATTCAGATCCTTTATGACATACAAAAAAAAAAATCGATAAAGCCTTTCAAGGGTAAGTAAAAAGTATACCTTTGCAAAGAGATGCGGCTCATAGTGTTAGATAAAAAAAAAAAGTGGTGTCAATGTGAAAGATAAAATAGAGCCTAGGTGTTAAACATGTACATGCAGGTGTTCCTCGCATAGGATCATATGGAAGCTTTAAGCTTTGACAATATTAGATCTTTCACAGTAAGATAGTCAAAATTATAACTGTAGCATGGTTAAAACATAAGCTTTGTTTTACATAATCAAGCCATGCGGGTAGGCAAGCCTTGCCATAAAACATAGACTTGAAGCTTAATCACTGGAATTTCTTTTCAAACCATCTACACAATACTTGCAATTGAACATATATGAGTTTTGAAACTAGAGAGGAAGAATAAATCTCAACCACAATACTCTAGAGATAAATCTGAGAAAACCAGTGGCAAATATGTGATTAAATGAAGACAAAGGTTGAGGTACTTCTTACACTCCGAGTAATCGGAGAACAGGGAAGGGAGAGGGAGGTGCTCGAGCGTGGTCGCTCGAGAGGTAGAGGAAGGGGCGAGCGACTTTCTGTTCGGAGAGGAGCACGGGATCGAGAGGCGCAGGCGAGCTTTTTGTTCGCAGAGGAGGCGCGGGTGAGGCGAGCGGGCTTCGAACCGGAGGAGAGGGAGTCATGATTGAGAGGAGCAGGTAGAGGCGAGGGTTTCGACGCTGAGAGAAGAGGGAGTTCGGTCTTCGGTCCCCAGAGAGAGTTTCGTTCGAGAGAGTGGGTAGGCGAGGGGGCTTCAGCCTGCGGTCGAGTTAGAGGGGGAAGACAAACATTATTTTTTTGTTCGCAGAAGAGGAGTTGGGGGTCGAACAGAGGAGGAGTGTGTGTCGAATTGTTGCTGGGGGGCGAAGCAGGCAAGAGAGCTAAGCGGCTTCATGCAGGGAGGATGGATTCGAAATGTGGCCAGCCCGGAGGAAGAAGGCGAACGTCCCTTTTAGAATAGGAGCGGGGTCGAATTAATCGAACGAGCGGGCTAGAGCCGTTACTTGAAGCGATTGGCGGGGACTTGAATGCTTTCCATTAAAGGAGCAGAACTAATTGGAAACTCATAAATTCAAATCATTTCCAATTAAGATGACTTTAAATCATTCGTTTGAATTTTGAATTTCGAAATTCAAAATTATGTGAGCTGATGATTAGCCCGGCTCAGCCTGAGTCAAACCCAAATCGAACTCGAATCAAACCTGGGTTAAGCCCGGGACCAAACACCGCAAGTTAAAAAGAATATGCATCGATACCCGTGTTAGTTGCTCGCGCACGAAATCATAACAATATGAGTATCCTTCCTAGCTAAAGTCGACGTCCCAGACGTATATGTGTGGTCCATTTCGTCATCCGAGGTCGTCCAAACAAGTTCGCCGACGGACGAGTCAATTCAATTCAAAATCGTGTAGGGTGTGATGCGTGCGCAAAATGCGGCATTATCGAGCGTTCAGGTCACAAAAGGTTCCCTAGGGGCTGCTCCTATTAATGTATGAACTTGACTCGAGTTTCATGTGTCGATCCTAATCAATTCAATGAAATGCCGAAGATTCAGGACCGCCCATGCGAGACTCGAAGGAGTGACGAGGTGGCTCGAATTTTCTAAATAGTGTGGGTCTCGTACTAGTCCTCTAAGAGGGTCAAACAAAGAAAACCTAAGAGGGTCAAACAAAAAAAACCTAAGGTTAGAGCCTATGCTCTAAGGAGAGAAGAAAAAACCTCACCCAAAATGAGGTCAACAGCTTGCTATGTGGCAAAACCATGAGATGATTTGAAACTATATAGATTGCACCGTGAAAACAACCAACTAAGTTGTGTTTCTATGTCAAGCAAAGCATATATTTACAATATATCTTAAAGTTAATAGCGGGGTAAGGCTAGCTAATCTTTATCCTGTTTCTAAGGAGTTTTATGATGCATTTCTTTTTCTTCCCTAAACTTGTCATTTTATCTCTCAGCCATAATTTTTTCGGATCTTTGTTGAGTTAAAGATTTTTGAATTATTAGCTCTAGTAGTATTCTCTCTCAAATTTATGTCTATTAGTCAACTGATGTGCTTTGGTATTCACTGAGCATACCGTTGGCTCATTTTTCATATACAAGGAATGCGACTTCAGAGATTATCGTTCAAACAGATACAAATTTAATTGTCATAAATGTGGATTTAAAAGTTTGTACTTTCAACATAGCCTAGTTATATGCACATTTAATTTTCTTTCTGCTACTTTTCGTAGCTTGAACTACAAAATAAAGTAATTTCTCACTGATGATGCTTTTACTAAATCAATTATTCTCCAGACATTCACTAATTGGGCTCAGAGAGCACATAAAGAAACGTCCACCTCTGGCAACTTCTGAGAAAGTACAGCAATTTGTGCGGGTAACTTTATATCTTTAAGATGCTATGTTCATTTTTCTAAGTGATGGGGCTTTTCTATGTTACATTAAATGATTCAGTATGATCTTGATATTTCTTTTCACCAAGCACTTGTAGCCATATTTTTCAGCATAGACCCTTTACATTGCATTTAGCACAGGGCAACTGAAATTGAACTCATTTTATTTTTATTATTGCCCTGGTTTATTCATTATTATTGATGCCAGATCATAATAGATCGTCAATCATTCTTACATGTTAGATTAGTGAGAAGAGTAGATTAGTTATTATTTCATGATTATACTTTATTTTACTTTTTAGGGTATGTTAGTCATTGCCATATTGATTGTGTAGCTATGAACTTTTGATGCCGTCTTTTTTATGTCTCTGATCATACTGATTATTGAAATAGGACTTAATGTTTTGGCTCCTTTCTCTCTATTTCACACTCACGTTTCTGATTTTTTTTTTCTACCTCTCAATCTCCTCAATTACACATTCGACCAAAGATTTGGTTCTACGCCAAACATTAACTGCTGTCAAGCGGATCAATCCATTTATGAGTTGATAGAGAATCCATTAAATTAATTTTTTCTTTCTTGATTTTGATTTTCCCCTTCCGCTTAGTTTTTGTCCATCCCATGATGACTACTCTGGCTCTGTTTCAACGCGACTGGCTCGGCTTCAATTAGGGCTGCTTGCAATGGAAACAAGAACATAGACAAAGTTTTTCAAGTAGCTGATCACTTCGACTACACCATTTATCCAAGTAATGCTAAGCTGCACAAAAAAATTTAAACAAATATTATGGTGGCCAGGTATGAAGAAGGTTGTTACAAATTATGCATCTAAGTGTGAAGCTTGTTGGATTGTGAAAGTTGAATATTAGAGATCCAGTGGACTGCTACAATCCTTACTTATTTCTCAATTGAAAATAAAAGGATGATTTTTTTTAGTTAATGAATACTAAAAATAAGGAAGAAAATAAAATTGAAGAGAGTAAATTGATATATAAAATGGAGTAGCATATTGCATTAAAATATTTGACATTTAATAGTTTTATTTATAGAAATTGCTACATTTAATGTTTATGATATTACATTTGTTTTGTTTTAGTATCAAAATATCTTGTTTAATATTATTGTGCACCAAGATAGTTATAATTATGCACCTACACTCATATTAGTCACAGATTAAAGTGCATATTATTATTTATTTATTTGTATGTTTGAATCTTATTTTGGAATTATTTCACTAAGCGTTAAGTCATTGGATATTATAATCGTGATTTCATGAAAGGAAAAAGAGGTGGTGGATTAGTAGTCAGGTTATTAGTTTTATCTATTTGACATTTTGGTTCCACAGTTTAGGATGTTTTATAGATGATAGATCTGTGGTGTAAATTGAATATTGGTAAGTCTAAATTTATATTTGGAGTTTATTTTGAAGCTCTTTTTTTATTTTGATAATTGTTAAATGCATGCTTTTTTATTATTTTTTATGACGAGTATTAGAGAATTTGAGGTAAAATTTTATGTTTAGTGACAACCTAGGAAGAGTAAATTTTTATTCGCTTGACCCTGCTGAGTAAAAGATAGGATAAGTGTTGATGGAAAATGGGTTTGACTGAATTGCTTCTCTTTATTACACTTTTGTCGTACTAGATGGGGGTCTAATGAGGTGTGACACAAAGCATCCTTATATTTGTTTTTATTACATCAACATTCTATTGCAATCATATTGAGAGATAAAAAGTATGTGTGGCTACATAGCAGCTATTGTAGAATTGAGGTCAAGTAGCCACATGTTAGCATGTGAGAGGATGAACGGAAGGATTGGCCATGTGTTGTTAATTAAAATGTTCATTGGTAATTGTCCGTCCATGGTTTGCTAGAGCTTCCAGTTGGTTGTCTATTTGTTGCTAAGAAAGCGTTAAGAGTGATATTTTATCGTCTAAGAGAACCCAACTCCTGCCTCTTATGGTGGAGTTTGTCCTTACGAACTTGGTGTCCCAAGATGTTGGCCTAGAAAGATTAGTCATCTGCTGGAGACTGTGTGTATGTGATATGATTCATCGATTTCAAGATCAACATGTGGGCTCGATGGGATGATGCTCATGATGTATCTTGGAAAAGGAGCTTGATCACAAGCCCAAACTATGCATTTCTATTGTTTTTGGCGGTCAAATGAAAGTAGCTGTGATAGTAAACCATTTATTTTCTCATTCTTTTGAATACTATAACTCCTTGATATTTTTTATTTTTTGTTTTGTACCATCCAACATATTTGGAAAGCTCATATCATTCTTGGGTAGAAGTGCTTCCTTCTTTATAATATTTTTCCTACAAGTCATTTCCTACTTATCAATTACCATTTGCCATATGATTCTACTCTTCTCATCCTTCTCTATCCATTTTCTCTTCTTATTGTTTATCAGCATTTTTTTTTTGTATATGTAGAGCTTGTTTTTGCTTACTGGATCCAAACTCTCATTCAACAAAATTTATGAACTCTCTATATATGTGGAACATTTAAAGTTTTATATATTTATCGATGAAAAAAAAAATTCATCATACATTTATGATATCATATTTCTATTTTTTTTTTATTCAGGAGAATTTGATGTCTGATATTAATCAGTGACCTAGCTACTACAGCTGACTTCTGGTATGTGTGGCATACGACTACGTATTGCTTTTGGTTCTCTTATATAACCCGTTTATTTAACCTAAAATGGTGTAAAAGTACATGCTGTTGCTCTAGCTACGTTCATGGGGTAGGATGATGGGGAGGTATATTTAGGACAATCATTTTATTTTTCTTAAATAATTTTTTTCTTGTATCAGTAAACATTCAAGCATTAATTTTATCAATAGTATATATGTAAGCTACTTGTCTAAATGAAAGCATCCTGGCTGTCAACTTTAGCAATTAAGGAAACATATTTGAGATGCTCCCAACTTTACACTGAAGTAAATAACTGTACTAATCATTGTCACTTTTTGAAAAAAATAAAAGCAATACGTGGGAATGTAATTCATGATATTGAGGAGATTTTTTAATGTTGAATTGTATGATCGCCTCTCTGCTCGCCTACTAGACCTCATACTCGCTCATCTATTTGCTTGTTCTGTCTTGTTTGCTCTGTGTTGATCTTGCTCGCTTATTACCCCCTATACTTGCATCCGAGCCCGAATTGCTTGCTCTTCGTTCTTATTGCTCGCTAGTGAACCCAAATTGCTTAGGGATTTTTTATGATTTTTTTGTTTTTAACTTCTACCACGCAATAAAATATATTTGCTATTCTTAGGCTTTTGTTATTTTTAAAAACAGCAAAGAACTATTACTGTTGGAGGAACACTGGAGAAAACAGGTTCATCATGCATCTATATTTGACACCTAGCAGTCGGATAATTGACTTCATAAGTTGCAACTCCATTAGAGCACCTTCTTAACTTGTGCCCCTTCCCTTCGAGATGTTCTTTGTGATTAGTTCTTTGTTAATTGGCTTATAATTAAGGACAAATTCTTGATCCAACATGCATTGCATAAAATATGTGTTGCTTGTACCTTAAGAGGACGTGACTAGATTATTCCCTTACTATAATCCAGCTGATTTAGATTTAATAGGGTCCTTAATTACTGGTTATTGAAACCCAATTTTTTACTTGTTGACCATGAATCCCTCGTGTCTTAGAATGTGAAGCTTAGCTGAGGCAATGGACTTCACTTTGAATACTAGAATGGGAATCATGGATGCACTAGGTAGATAGAAAAGGATGGAGTCTAGTGAGCTGTAAATTAATCACTTGAAGTAAGAGCGAGTAGAATCTTGTCAATGTGTTAATAATGATGAGAAATGAGGGTTGGTGGAGCAAAAAAATTGTTTTAAAATATTTAAGTTTTTCGAAATATTTTTAGTGCTTAAAAAATTTAAATAAAAAATAGGACAACATATTTTGTTCCTAATCATGTTTTAGATTCTTCCTTTTATGGATTTGTCCCGTGATTGTTCTGCATGCTTTGAGCAACTCTTTTACCAATAAAATTCTATGAATTTCTACCTTTGTTCCTAATTGTGTTTTAGATGTTTCCTTTTGGGTTTACATAGAAAATCCTTCTTGTAAGCTTTCTCCTTCCTTTCTACCACCTGAAGTTTTTTAGCATTGAGGCTCCTCCACTTTTAATGGCTTACATGTAGTTTTATTAACAATCGATGAAGAAAATTTCTTATTTTTTAATTGTCTTCTTCGTGTATTTTTTCATTTTTGTAATTCTTATTCATCTTTGTTTGATGGGGTTGTCCTGTCATTTTCTACATTCTTTGAGCAACTCCTTTTCTACCAACGAATTTCTACCTTTGTTCCTAATCATGTTTTAGATTCTTCCATTTGATGGGTTTGTCTCGTCATTGTTATGCATGCTTCGAGCAACTCCGCTACCAATTAATTTCTATGAATTTCTACCTTTATTCCTAATCATGTTTTAGATGCTTCCTTTTGGGTTTACGCAAAAACTCCTTGTAAGCTTTCTCCTCTCTTTCTACCACCTTGAATTCTTTTGGCATTGAGGCTCCTCCACTTTTAATGGCTTACATGCAGTTTTGTTAACAATCGATGAAGAAAATTTATTGGCCAAATATTTTATCTTTGTGTTTGTTGTGAGTTGGGAAACTTTATTGGTTGGGATAAATATAGTTTTCATTGCTTTGGGTCTTTATTGCTTTTGTTATGGATTCTAAGCAATTTCTGATCACGTTCCAAAATGATGAAAGATTGCTCTGAAATATTTTTTTGAGCTCATATTTTGTTAAAGAAAAGTAATACGGATTTTAAAGCGGCCTAAAAATATAAGTATTAAGAATGAATCTCACTTGTGATTTGAATTTTCTTTCCAAAATAAGCATGTTCATATTATTAATTAATTATGCTATTTTTTTCTACAGGCTCTTTTTTTATCATTTGTTGAAAATGGTCTTAAACATAAAATCCCTAATAGACTATTTGTGACTCAAAGGTTAAGATGGACATTATCTCTAAACATTATTATTTGGTTTGCCTCTATTTGTAATTATTGTTGTAGCAAGTGGTTTATTAAGAGCTTCCAAATTTTGCACCCGTAAAATGCGTAGGCTTGATAATAACTTTCTTCCATCTCCACTCTAACTTGATGTAATCACGCCTCACTCTCGGAAAAATGATGGGGACTTATTAATCTGGATTTGATCCAGGAGGCATGAATTCTATAACTTTTGATATGTGAATGGTGGTGGTGAAAGTTCTCATGTTTGTTTTATTTTTGTGGATGATGCTTTAATAAGCTATTCAAACATTTTTAAAAAATTTGGGAATGGTTCAACTGAGTTTGCACCAAGACTTGTCTCTTTAGGTATTGGCTGCAATGTTGAGTGTGTTAACCAACATAAGCTATAATTTAATTCTCCATGATGCTCCCATTGGGCTAAAGATTAATTGAAGGAAGATGTATAATAAGATGGATTTGGCTCCTCTTTGTACTATCCACATGGTTATCTTCAATTGCCATTAATAGGTTTTTTTTTTTCTTTGACTTCTAGATTTGCTTTTTCTACACTACTCCTTGTGCCTATTTTGTGTTCGTCTATGAGGGACTCTTTAGAGATGAGTCTAAGGTGCACCAAGTGGGCGGAGAGGTGAATTGAGTGTTCAATTGACATTTGAACTCCCTTTGATCTCCTTTAAATTCAGAACACTCAAAAAATTACACATGGAAACTAAATAATCTAACAATTAAATAAATTATACGCACTTGAGAGTACAAATTGTAGGATATAAGATTTATATGATATGGTTGACTGACAAAGATGAGTATACAAGTGCTATTCACAGGCTAGATGATATTACACAAACATATTAGCACATACACTTGTAATCAAATTAATCAATCTTATATGTGTGACACCACACCAGAGAATTAGGTTTTGGTTTAAATGATTAATGTAGGAATTGAGTATTTAACTATTAAGCACAATAAGAAAATCAACTGAACTACATAAGTTTAAAATAACCACTAAATACCAATGTTATGCAGATGCTAAACATCCAAAGGAACAAAGGTGTTGTCTGTATATATTTCTAGATGAGAACAATTTATTGGTAAGGTAATATTTAATGATTCATTGTAATACAATAGCATTAGATTATTAGCACGGTTATCACCACATTAATATTCAAATCTATAATAAAAAAATATGGAAATGTTCTAGTAATGTAAATTTAAATTATAGATAAAATTTGACACAACTTGATTTTTATGTGTTTTGCACCCAGTTGGTTTACATCCATTCCTCATTATTCTTCGATTAGGATTCCATTACTTCAACGTGCAAATACAAGTTCATTCATTTACTTTTCAAGATGATTAGGAATCTTTACACCATCTTCATTTAAAACAAGAATACTCCCCAATTACATGCACACAAAACTCCACCTAGATCAACTTATTTCAAACCGCCAAGTTTTTAAGAAAAAGTCAAGTCAAAGTTCTTTAGAACTGTGGAGTTGATGCATGATAAACACCTAGCTAAATATTATAATTCAATCTCTAATGAAATGATTAAAATTTTCAAATTAAATGTACTTGAAAAAATCTGATAAGAATGTAATGAGAATGATATACCCAAGTGGACCTTTTAAAGAACTTGACTAGATGAATGCTTAGAGAATTTTCTTAATATTTTCTCTTTGCATGTATGGGTTATATGTAGTCTAACAATTGTCTCAAGTAATCCCTAAAAAATATTCTAAAGTTTTTCATAAAATCCCTTAAAACAAGAAGCTCAAACAGCTTGTCAAAGGGTTTCAATGACCAGTTGGCTGGCCACTAGTAAGTATGCTGTGACACTGACACCCATTGTGGATTTTTGTCTGTATGTGTGGGTTTTGCTTTACAAGTATTTCTGTTGAGAGTTGTTTTGGTATGTATGTTAGAATCTTGCTTTATATCTATTTTAATAAGTATAAATACGAAGTATATGGTATTATATATGATTCTATGACTAAAGAACCTAATGAATTCATTGAAATTAAAATTGGGATCAAATTCAATAAGTTCACTTTAAATAAGTAAAATTAAGTTTTGCAAATTCAATGATAAAAACAAAGTAAATTTGCTGATAAGGAAAATATTCAATTAAGAAATATTGGTGATATTATGACATAAAACCTTAATTAAGAAATGGAATGAAATGCTATGTGAATGTGAGCTCAATTAAATTTGCTAACGACCATATGTCATCATTGGTCATTTTATGAACAAATTAAGCAAATGATCATGTGTTTAAAATAATTCATATCTAGGAAAATAAATAATTCAAAAAATACGATATTAACTTTGATAAATTCTAAAACATATGAAATATTTTTTTGTAATATTTAAAATATATTTTGGATTAATAGGTTTTGTTTTCTTCATCATCCTTGAGACCTTTAGGGCTTACTGTGCTAGATTACTCTTGGAATCCTTCATTAAGTTTTCATATCTTGCGCAGTTTAGCTTTTTATTTAACAGACCGATCCCTCAGTAAAAGTGGACTTCATTCTGATGGTTGTTATAAAATGAATACCTTAGAAGAAAATAAATAAAAAACTATTAGATGACACTATACATAATTTATTATTAACAAATCTTTCATAAGCTATACAAGTCACATGGGCTTATATGGTCAACATGATCAATAGATGGTTGTGGCTGCAGGGGGTTTCCTTTGTATTGATGTTTTTTTGTGCTTTTGAAAATTGTGTTGAATCTTATTTTCCTAATGAATCTAGTTTTTTTTATCACCATCCCTTGATTATATATTTATTATTAGAGAAAATTTGTAGAAAACTTATCCATATTTTAATGTTTGTATATGGTCTGCAATGAAGATAGTTTTGACGTGTTTTGTAGGCAATCGTAATAAATATAAGAAAAAATTTAAGGTGGCTAGATGCACTGGGTTCTCCTCTAAGCTCATCTGATAGGTTTTTAGTGTTCTTCCCATTTGGAGCTTTATCTGTTTTCTCTTAATACTACAAAGAACTGTCTCTTGCATTATATTTGACCTGATATGTTTCTGTCGACATATTTTATGCTTGATGTTTTGGCGTCTTTCAAAATTTGTTTTGTGAGAGTGAATTCCTTCTGATTCTTCATAATTTCTAGTTGTTCAATTTCTATAAGCCTGCTTACTTTTATAGTGCTTTTTTTCGTTACCTTGGCCCTTATAGATTTATTGATTCACGTGATTTTGTTCTCACCAATTTTTTATACAATTCTTGATTTGAAGGTCTATTTGATCATCTTTAGTCCTCATGGTCACTTTGTGTGTTCTTTCAGCTCTTGGCCTATATGTAACCCCAATTACTTTCACCGAAAAATTAATTTTCATTAATCAAAATATTAGGTGATTAGTTAATTATTAGTTGGCCATAAAATAATTTTTTTCACTAGACGAGTATAAATTCTGTCATATCTATGCCATTAATAAATTATAATAACCCATCATTGATAAAAATTTGGTACCCGTGATAATTTTAAATTATCAATAAACCCAAGTAGATATAAAATACTCTTACTTGTTTCTTGAAGAAACTGATATGCTTACCTTTTTAATTTATGATCCTTTTCTAATGGTCTGATCCTCTTCACCCATTGCTTGTGTCATACCTTCTTTCCGGTTTATTACTGGGGTGAGTTAAAGTAATTATTTTTATCTTTTGGATTATATTTATAGTTGCAATCAAACAGATCAACATTTTGCAAACATCCTGGGTATTACATCAGTATTGATATCTGCTTTCTAGTTGTGTTAGAAGTTTATCAGATTTTTTTCTACTTGAATAGACACTTGGGAAAGAAGCCACTGTTGCTGGATTCTATCATGATGGCTACGAAGATTCATTGTTAATGCTGATGAGAAGGAGAGAAGTCCATGCGGGTTTGGTTGTTAAGGTTAGTGTTTGTTTTTTGTGGCATTTACATTCATACCATACAATTCTTCTGTATTTACATATCTAACACCTAAATATTCATATGTACATGCATACCAAATCTTTAATATCACATCAAAAATTCGGCCATCACTACTTTTAAAGGTGAATACACCTTTTCATGCATAGATTTAAGAAAACAAGGTGTTATAAATGTAAATATCAAACTTTGGGCGTTAGATATGTACATACATAAGAACTGTGTCATACATAAGAACTGTGTGGTATCATGTAAATTTCAAACTTTTTTTTTTTTTTTTTTGTATGGCATGGTTAGTGGATGAATGGATCATACATGAAAACCGTAGAATGACAGTATAAATGCAAGAAAAAAAAATACAATTGATTGCAGTTTCCTCATTCCTCAATGGAATCAACATGTCAGCACTTTCTTTTCTTTTTTAGCCGTTTTTTTATTTTCCCTTATTGCATATTTATCTCAAGTGTTACTGGGACTTGTTTCACATGATTTGAGTTTTTATCAGAGGTATTCTTAATCTTATATGAAGTTTTTGTTCATCTGGTATCTATTGATGCCCCTCATGACTTCTTATAATTTTTGTCAGTTAAAGTCAAACCAAAACCCCAGTACCATACTAATTCGGGAAATTAAATTATCGCACAAGCTATTTAATTTTAGATATTGCTATTTCTGTAGTTTTGTCTAGGTTTCTGATTTTTTTGAGAATCTCCCTATATAATTAACAGAATTGTGTTAGATTGTTTCTTCTAGCAATAATGTACAGATCATGTGAATTTTACCACTGCTACTGATGTGCAGGGGGAAGAAGGTTCGTTATCAATGACAACAAAACCAAGATCTGTTAATGCTTCAAAAGGCATTCAAGTGAACCACTGTGCTGGTTTCCGCTCGCTCAGTAGAGCAGACGACTTGTCGACTGATGGTAACCATTCTCTTATTTCCTCTAGGGATATATTCAGTTCATTTTAGGAAGATTTACATACATACCACTTAATTCCTATGTATTTACATATCTAACACCTACACTTCAATTTTTACATATATATATGCTACCTTATTCATGCATGAGAAGGTGTATTTTTTTTTTAGCTGTTCTTAGTTCATTGTCAGTCTTGATTGAAGTGTAACTTCAAATACTTTGCATCCTTGTTAAATTGGTAATAAAGCTTTTTTTCTTTAATTTTGTGATTAGGTTTTTTTCGCACGAATTTTAGTGTAGAGGTCAATGCTCAAGATTATGGTTTCGAACCTAGCGAAACTCCGAGAACGGATAGATCTGTAAGTTCTTTGACTCTGTTAAATTATGTTTTTACCCATCCATCTATATGGTCATATAGAATATAGAAAAGAAAAAAATGCTATGCTAGTTGTATGAAGTCATTAGGTTATTGTGAGATCCTGATCTGTTGTGTTGGGAAAACTTCAAAATCTTGACATGATATTACAATGTGGAAGTCACATTGCTTAATATAAAAAATGAAGACATTCATAGCTATTTTGAAGACATTATTTACATTTGAAAACATCATTAATTTCTAATCTTGACATAGAACACTGAATAAAAACATTTAAAATAAAATAATAATTTTTTAAAATATTTTTATGAAATATAAAGACTGTAGTATAATTCCTGCATCCAGGCTAAGAAAAACATGGAGTTAGGTTTGGCTGCATTAAGCGGCGAAAAGGGTCCAGCTTACGACCGCATCGTTCTAAATGCTGGAATGGTTGATCATCTGCTTGGATGTGAGGGCGCAGAGGATGTTCAGGTCGCCCTGCAAAGAGCCAAGGAAGCCATTGACAGTGGCCAAGCCCTCAATAGGCTCAGGAACTTCATACAAATTTCCCATAAACTTAAATAGAATTCTTTTCTCCCTTTGACATGCCATCTAGACCCTCTCTCTCTCTCTCTCTCTCTACACTAAATAATATTTTATGTGCTCACAAAGTTGAATGATTTAGTGCTCATTTGTGCTATGTATATAGATTGAAGGGATGCAAAGTGTTAATTAGTCAATGAAAATTTTGGAAGTTAGTGTCAGGATCTCGACGATGATTTCGTCTACACATTATCTATTTTGGATGTCAAGCGAATATTCTTTAGGTAAATTCACATACATAGCACTCAATTCTTATGCATTTACATATCCGCACCTAAACTTTCATATTTACATGCATAGCATTTTGATGCTTTAAACTTATACATGAAAATGCGTGCTTCCCATATAGTGCTATTTTTATGTGAAATTGAATAAAAATCGTGCGCTATGTATATAAATGCCCCCTATTCTTTGAGCATATGTTCGTGTTGTATCGAATTAATCTGTTTCTATCATAATAATATTCAAATTTCTCGATCTGTTTAGATGTCTCAATTTTATACATTATTGTATTTTTCACTTGCCACCTATCAAGTGAAAATAATTCTCTTTTGTTTAGAAGAAAGGTGAAATTTGTAAAGAGGATTTTCATATATGCCACTTAATTCCTACGTATTTACATATCTAACGCCTAAATTTCAATTTTTACATACATACCATCTTACCCATGCGTGAAAAAGATGTATTTTGCATTTTAAAAGTTAAAACGGCGAGGCTTTATAGATTTAGATCAGATAAATGTAAAAAAGCAAATTTTGAAGGTTTTATTTAGAGTTTTGCATTATAAGGGAAATTCTTATACTTGTATTTTCTGATATATCTATTCTAAAAAATGAAGCAAAAATTATTTGAGGTCATCATGAGAAATGAAAATTGTTTTTCTTGAATTTATATACATATGATATGATTCTTATGTGTTTATATGTCTAACAACTAAGTTTTAATATCTATGTTTATGACATTGTGTCATAAATGTACGCATGGAAAGACATTTTATTTTAAAATTTAAAAAGTAGAGGTTGCATGCTAATATTAAATTTTATATTGTTATTAGTTAAATTATCATCATTGTAATTCTTTTAAAGAAGGTAGGATACTAATTAAATGTAATTCCAAGTTATTATAAAAATTATATATATATATATATATTATCAATGCAAGAGAGAGAGATGTGTGTGTGAAAGTGGTTACAACACCCTTGATTAATGGAAAAGGAAGGTGGTGATTGCAAAAAAGAAGGTTCATGCCAAGAAAAAAAGCTACTACTAGGGCTTTGAAAGGAGGTGAGGGAAGCTTGGTTTAGTTGGTGCAGTGATTGCAAGGGGATGGCGAGGGATGCTCTAAGCTTTGACCTTCTTAAATAAGGAAGGAAGGTGGTAATGAAGCTGGTGAAAAAGAAAATCCTTGATAAGGTATTCGGGATTGATTGTTGTGTTCACCATAGATCTTGAAAAGTTTATATCTAAATGATTAGATATGTCATTTGAAGAATAATATGCTACCTATAGAAATAGAAATATTATCTTATCATTTTTATTTTTTGACAGGCAGAGGTTTATTTATAGAATCATACAAATTTGAATATTTAATTATTTAAATAATCAAACACGACATTTAAAGTAATTTAACATCTCGAGCAATAGAAATACTACTTTACAGTGGGTTTTATTACTTAAATTAAGAAATATTGGGTTTTCTTGCAATGATCTACGATTAAAACTGACAAATCTTTCATCCATCCGATTCGAAGACTATATAGGGTTTAGATTAAATCTAGATTACAAAGTTTTTATAAGGACAAACCTCTATAGTTAATTTTATCTTAAGTAAACAAACTTACTTAAGAAAACTCTCAATTAAAACTTTTTATTTTGTCCTTAAAAAGTTTCTAAGTTTAGGTTTTTATAGTTGATTATTTGTAATTTTAAATGGGGAAAACTCAAAAGTGGAACAATTATTAATGGAACCCAGAGAAGAAGAACGAGAGATGTCAAAGATATTGAGAAACTCAATGACATCGTAGCTGTCTTATTGTTTGTCTTTAATGATTTTGAAAGAAGTTTCTTCGATGTTTCAACTTGACATTTTATTAGAATGTTTGAACTTAAATCGCTGGATATATGATAGTGAGAAAGCCTAACAGATGAGGATTTGTGTCGTAACTAAATGAGCGACCTCAAAATTCTAAGTATGAAGTGAGGTTGACTAAAAGAAGAGAAACCTCGGATACCTAGTCTAAAGAAAGGGAAAAAAACACAAAACAATGCAATAAACTTATAACACTGTTTGAAATATGTTGTAATATGGATCAGTTAATTGCATTTAAAATCATGCATGATCAGTTTCAATGAATGAAAGATGAGGTAGGTTATTATTTTAATTAAGAATAACTTGATTATAAATCAAGTTCCTAAGTATGACTGATATTCATAATATCCCAAAACTAGTGCGAAAATATTTTTGCAATTTAAAATTTAACATTTTAAGCTCACCACTCTCAAATTATTTTATTATTTTTGTGTTAACTCTTAATGTCGAGTGAATTAAAAGTAGATTGTCTAATAGGTCATGAAGGTCATTGATGATGAATGCTTATAGGATTTGTTCATAAGGGCCAATGATATGCAAAGATAGACTCACTCTAGAAGGTGATGGTCTACACCAAACAAATCACCCTTTTTTGTGTAATGAGTGAGGGCTTGAAAAATAAGGAGTCTAATATGATTATGCATATGCATATGGTGATGTTTTTGTGGTTGTTGTTTAAATCACAAAGATGTTTCTACTCATTTTTATTTAGAATCAACTTGGTTGTTTTATATGCATGATACTTCTAAGGTTGTGAATGCAATGTTTTATGCAATAATTATTTCTGGTTATGAGTTTAATTTAGTTTCTGAAAAATTAAGTTAAATTTATTTGATTTGGGTATAAGATTTTGTTTATAACAAGAACCAAAAAATCCAAGAAAAAGGCACAAACAAAGTACAGATAAAAATGTGGGCAGACCTAGACCTACGTCTGACTCAACGGTCGACATCACCCGAAATGCATTTGTTGGTTTCTTTGAGATTCATCCTTTCGCTTTTATGTTCATCCTTTTGTGGATATTTCAGATATTAGTAGTCGACCGACCACAACACACCCTAATTCTAGAAAAGAAAATATCTCAAGAAAAAAACCAACATTCCTACATCAACCTAGTTTCACTACAACACCCTAGGTTACTACAACAGCTCATCAAAACAAAATTAGCACATTCTGAGCTTGATATGGAAGCTTAAAAACATGCAAAGAAAATATGCCATAACATATTCAGTAAAGAAGAACTATCTACCCATCCTAACAAGCATCCAACGAGCAAACAAAACAATCAAAACACAAAAACACAACTTATCTAATCTTGTGATGTCTAAAGAGTTAGTGCTTTATGTCATCTAAATGTGGGTGAAGGTGAAATAGGAAGAATAATCAAATTTTATTTAAGACGACCCCGATAAAGATGTCCATGACTTTCCATTGTTCCTAGTCATTGACATTTTAGTTCTACTTAGTCAAAAAATGTAGTTAACATATTTTGATTGAAAGATTTTTGTCAGCAACTATGAGTTGTGTCGTTGAAGAACCTTCGTAGACCTGGTGGTGAATCTTTATTGTTCATTTTGTATTTGGTTATGTTTTCTCATTAGGGGTTTACTTTGCATTTTAATGTCTTTAGATTTTATGAGTTTATGGTTGTTATCTTATTTGACTTTTAATCAAATTTATTTTTAATAGAACTTTATTTTAATTAATTTGATTTTTAAGATGCTTTTCTTTTGATTAATTTCACATTATTCCATCTTCCCAGGGTCATTAGTGTTTGTGGCCTGTTTGACTAAGAATAATTAGAGTAATTAGAAATCATGGGTTACTTCATCTAAAAATTCCTTGCAGGTCGATGGTTTGTTTATTATTAAGTTTAAGTTTAATATTTAGTGAGTTTTCTTTTATGATTTGCTTTAAATCTTAATGATGCATGGGTTTTATTTTATTTTCATTTAGGGTTTATTTTTTTATGACTTTTAGCATTTTAGATATTTTAATTTAAATAGGTTCAAATTATCTTAAAATTTTATAAAAGTAAATTATTTTTGTTGGGTTTAAATGATCTATAGAACCCTTATGGTTTTCATAGAGGCGTTCAAAATTGAATTCTAAATGACCTCCACGATTTTCTAGTCGTTCTAATCTTCTCTTGAAATCATTTCGAGTTTTTACATCTGTTTAGTGAATTAATCATTTAAATATTATTTAAAATTTACTTGATGAAAGCTATTTTTGAATACTTAGCTCTACTTTGCTTGTTTGATTCATTAGTGAAGATCTTATTTGATTTGGATTTTTTTTTGGAAAAGTTATTTGATTTTTGGTTCATAAGGGTATAGTTATAAATTTGATAGTTTGATATAAACTGCTTCCATTGAAATTCATTTATCATGTTTTAATATTTGATGATGAGGGATTCAAATTGAATTAAGATTTTCAATCTTTTTTAACGATTCTAATGGTATGTACATGCATACCTTGAAAAACCACAGTGAAGATATCAAAAATTTGTCTAGAGAGGAGGATTTTCAAAGGGGATCTCTCCTTGGTTTCACACCAATGGAAGAAATACCTAAGCAAAGAAGCACCGCAAAGTGTGTCATCCCAAAGAAGAGCAACAAGTCTTTGAACTCCTACAAAGATGTTGTTGTTTAACCTTTTATTTATTAATTTCAATTGAGTTTATTAAGTCTTAAAGAGTTTTTCCTTAGGGTCTAAAAAAGTTGTTAAAGGTATCTTTGTCAAATGAATGAATTAATCATATGTCATTGGGTTTCATCCTACGCATATGTTTTATGTTGTCTACCCTATGTTTCTTATGAGATGAAGGTGATCCACATGTCAAAGGTCTTTATCCTAGACATATGTCCTACGTTGGCTATCCTAAGTTTTCTTTTTCAAAGATAAGATAATAAATAAATAAATAAAAGGAATAACATTATCACATTGACAAACAAAACATATATAATAGAATGTGACTTAATGTTGTAAGTAAACAAAGAGTATGAATAATAATCGATTATTTTCTTGAAAAGGTAGGAAAATATCATGCATTAAAAATTCTCATAGGTGT